TTGCTCCAGAGGCTGCAGCTACCCTCACCTCAGTGAAGCTTAATGGCCCAGCCAATGGTCAGTGTCCCAGATGATAACATCTATACCCGTATTCTGAGTCATTCTTGCTTTCCATCATTTGGTAATTGTAGCGCAATTTAATAACAGGTCAGTGCAGGCAGAATGAGCGAGTATCTTGTGAGGTAGGAATGGGATTTTCCATGGCAGTGAGCACCGCTTGTGACACTGCCCACTGTTCAGCTTTCCCCAGATCCAGGGGTGACCTGTCCACTAAGTCTTGCTCTCAGTGTTTAGGATGCAAAGATGCACAGGACCCTCTGGAGGGCACAGTCTGATGGATGTCATTTCAGACGTACAGAAAAATTGCCAGACCACTACAGGGAGTTCCCATACCTCCTGCACTCAGCCCCCACTAGCGTGTCTCTGTGTCTTTACTCATCACGTTATTTGGAACCATTTCAGAGTAAGTTGCAGGTAAGTTGTCTTTTGACTTCTAAATATTCATTGTTTTGTAAAAGGAAGTATTTTCTCTTTCATAACCCTACAGTATAATGGTCAAAATCAGGAAATCAATAATGATCGACCACAAGTTATCTAACTGTAGGCATGATGCGAGTTTTGTCAGCGGTTCCAACAATACCCTATATAGCTGAAAACAGCCTGCAGCCAGCTGGCCCTTTTCTTTAGTTTACGTTATTTTAATTAGCTTATTATTATTATTATTATTATTATTATTATTATATCCCCTAGGGGCTAGGAAGGGAAATTCAAAAAGTGTCTCTCAGAGGGAGTGACCTTGCCCAGCCCACCTTAGGCTGACCACACTCCCCTTCACCCACCAACTCCTAGAGCTTGAAGAACCCACAGGTTACAACACAGCATCTAATTGCTTCAGCGCTGAGAAACTTATTTTCTCATTCTCTCTGACCCCTGATCAGCTTCCTATTCTCTTCTCTCCTGGTCCTTCCAACAATATAGATGTTATCAGAAGAGAATGACAAGTCTAAAAATGATGGCCACTTCTCCTAGGCCCTCCAGAGAGTGTTTTGCACAGCCCAGCTGCCCCAGGGCCAGGGGGATGACTTCCTCGAGCCTACGGACAGGTATTTTAAACTAGATCTGCTCAGAGTTGGAAATGCTACTGCCATAGTGAAAAGCGAGTCTTGCTCTTATTTTTATTTATTTATTTGATTTTTAAAGAAAACAACAACAGACCAGAAAAACAAAACAAACCCAGTACCATCCATTCTACTCCCTCCAGACTCCCTCCTTCCACACCCACCCCACTTCACCTCCAGGTAATCTCAATTCAGTTATCAATATTCATTAATTTGGGTTTTTTTTTGACCATTCATCCACTTAGTTTCCATATATTGCATACATCCATATATTGAATGCAAACAATATTTGTCTCTCTCATTCTGACTAATTTCACTTCCCATAATCCCTTTAAGTACCTTCTATTTTGCAGCAGATGGCAAATTTTAATTTTTCCTTATAGCTGAATAGTATTTCATTGTATAAAACACAGCCATTTTTATCCAGTTATCTCAGTGGGCACTTGGTTTATTACAATAGCTTAGCTATTGTAAATAATGAACACTGTGGCACATATGACTCTTCAAGTTGATGATTTCATATTCTTTTGGATAATTAGCCAGAAGTGGGATTGTTGGATCACATGATAGTTCTATTTTTTATATTTTTAGGAAGACTACATTCCTTTCCAAAATGGCTGCACCAACTTGCATCGCACCAACTGTCTATGGTTTCCTCTTTCTTCACTTCCTTGCTAACCTTGTTGTCAGTAGCCTTTTTGATGTCAGCTATTTTCATGGGAGTCAGCTGATAGCTCACTGTGATTTTAAGTTGCATTTCCCTAGTAAGAACTGATGACGAATGATTACTCATGTCTATCAGCCATCTGCATGTCCTCTTTGGAAAAAGGTCTGCTCATTTTTTTTTAAATTGGGTTGTTTTTATGTGCTAAATTGGATGAGCTCTTTATATACCTCAGATATTAATCCCTCATGAGATGTGCAAATACATTCTCCCACTCAAACGGTGGACTCTCTTTTTAATCTGCAATTTTTTTCCCTCTGTGTAAAACTGTTTTTAATTTGTATACTGCTAATTTTTTATTTCTGCTTTCATTTCCCTTGCGATTGGGGTCAAGTCCCCAAAGATATCTTGGTCATCAGTAGCATGGAGTGTATTTCTTATGTTTTCCTCTATGTCTTTTGTGAATTTAGGTTTTATATCCCAGTCTTTAATCCATTTTAAAGTTATTTTGTGTCAGAAGTTACAAAGTTACATCATTTCACTCTTTTCCATTTGGCTATTTTCCTTTGTCATAACTTAATGTTGGTATAGTGTGGATTCATTTCTGTTCTATTCATCTGTGTACCTATTTTTATTCCACTGATATGCTCTTTTGATTACTATTGCTTTATAACATAGTTTAAAATGAAATAACATGATGTCTCCATTTTTGTTCCTTTTTCTCAAATTGCTTTAACTATTTGAGGACTTTTGTGGCTCTATATAAACTGGCTCTTTTTCCTTGAAAAATATATCAGAATTTTGATAAGAACTGATTTTTTTATGTTGCTTTTGGTAGGGTGGTCATTTGATAATATTAATTCTCCACCCACCCATGATTTAGAATGAAACACAAAGAGATATTCACCCATGGGTGGGTGGAGAATTAATATTACAGCTTTAATTTTATACATCTTTTGCTCTGTTAAATTTATTTCTGGGTATTTCATTCTTTTTGATAGGATTATAAACAGGATTGTTTTTTCTTAAGTCTCCTTTAATCAAGAACAGTTCCTTAATCTTTTATGATATGGACATTTGAGAAATACAGTTCATTTATTTTGTAGGCTGGTTTCTCTGATATTCTGGTGAATACATTTAGAATGTACCATTGGTAGGTGTACTCTATATCAATGTGTCATTCATATATGTATAATATAAGGAGGCACACAAGGCCAGTCTGTCTCAATGATGGTAATACTCTTTTTGATCACTTGCTTAACATGGTTTGTGCCACATTTCTGCATGATTTCTTTCATTATATTAATGTGTTTGAGACAATGCATCCATCTTACCACTCCTCAAACTTTCACCCATTTATTTTAGCAATGATGATGAGCCTTGCCTGAATAAATTATTAGGATGCCAGGTGGTGATGTTCTATGCATTATTCCTACAGTTATTAGTTGGCTTTCCATGGTAAGGAAGAATTTTCCCCACTGTCCCAATTGTTTGTATTGATCACAGATCCAAGGCAAGAAAGTACTATCTCAGCTGCTATCTAAAATCAAACTGTAGGAATTAGCAAGTGCTATTAGATGCTGTCAAGCTCTTCCACATCCCAATTGTACTGATCCCTAAACTTCATACTTCCGCGATGCCCTAATAAAATCCATAGTATATCCAGTGGAACTCCCTCTCTTAGAACTGAATGAGTCACTTGTAGAAGTGGGACTTGTCTCATCATTCTTTGACAATTGTTCTAATAGCTGTGTGGGTAACATAGAAATGTAACAGTGGAAGCAGGGGTCCCTGTTAAGGCTGTTGGAAATCATGTGTGGGAAACAGACTTCTAGAGTTATTTAAAAAAGAAAAGATATTGTTGACCTTAAGAGTCTCTATGTTAAAATATCCCATACTATAGCCAGAAAAAAATTGCAACTCACTACTGACAAAGAGCCAGTTTCATCAATAAGAGAAGGTCAATAGTTCATCTGAGAAAATGAGCCAAGGATATAAAGAAAATTCCCAGAAACGTATAAGTGGTTATTGACCATGAAAAGAAGTTAAATCTCATCGAATATAGCAGAAATATAAGTTGAGACTACAGTATGCTAGTTATTTTTCACATATTAGTTTTGTAAAAACCAAAACTCTGATTAACAAGAGAGATTAGAAAAGGTGTGGGAAGTGCTTGCATTGCTGGTGGGACCATCAGTTGGCATGCTTCAGTTAGGACAAATTGACACCGCCTAACAAAACATTTTAAAAATATTATCTATTTTACCTAGCAATTCTATTTCAGGAATTTATCCTGCAAGTAAGCCAACGTAGGCAATGACGTTGTGCAGGCAGTTCCATAGAGGGCTGTGTCTATAACAAAACCCCTCCTATAGAGGACTTGTTTAGTAAAGCCCAACAGTTCGCAAGGCAGAATCTCTTCATCTATTACAAAAAAAGATAATTCTAGGTCATATTGTTGGGTTGAAAGAAGGAAACTGTGTGGGATAGCTCTGAAAGGAAACTGCAAGATCAGTTGTGGTGCTTACTTTCAAAATTGCTAGGGCAAAGAGGCAGAAAAGAACTGCTATGAGATCTGATATTTTTTGTTTCGGTCTGAATATCACGATAGGCACATGCATTTCTCGCAAAAGCACACAATGAATGAATGAGGATGTGTTACAGTTTTCAGGTGATAATTGACTTTAATAGCACTGATAGGGAGCACTCCTGGATCCAGGATGCTTGGAGGAAAGTTCCAAGACACTCCAAAAATGAATCAGTGGGTGACAGCTCTCTGCACCAGGACGAGTGAACCACGTGCATGAGTGCCAGGGTGGTAATTGGGGGAGATGAGACATTTACTCTGCGGGAAGCAGCACCTCCGGGAAACAGCATAGTCTGAGAGCTCAAGGATTCTGTTTTGTTAGATTTGAGATGCTGCTGATCACCACAGGAAGGCGCGAAATAGATAGTTTCCCCCCACCCCTAGCCCTGTGAGGTTCCCACTACATTAGTAGGTGAGCCACCCGCCTCCTCTGCCCACTAGTGACTCCTTTGTATCTTGTCTGACCGCCTTCCCGTTCACCCATGGCCACGTGAGAGCCCCAACTCCCCGCCTACTTTAAGTTTTCTGCTGTGGTCAATTTCACTGCCGGCTCCGCCTACCACGCGAGCACGTGATCGGGCCTACGTCAGTCGTCTCCGCGTCACGTGAGGGATCGATCACGTGACTGGCGTTCCAGAGGTTCCCGGCGCGGAGCTTTTCTGCTGTTCGGACCTGCAGCTGCTGGAACTTGTGGGTCGCGGACCGAATGGAGGAGGACGAGGAGGCGCGGGCGCTGCTGGCGGGCGGAGGGGCCCCCGAGGCTCCCGCGGCTGCCGCGGCACTGCCGGCTCTTTGTGATCCTCGCCGCTTGGCGCACCGGCTCGTGGTACTGCTGCTGATGTGCTTCCTCGGCTTTGGTGAGCCGCCGGGACAGGGTGGAGGAGCTGTCAAGGAGCTCTGACCTTCTTTTGAAGACCCAAGACCCCGCCCAGTTCTCCCTGGGTCGCATTCTTTACCCTCTGAGCATTGTAACTAAACCGGTGAGCTCCCAAAGATGGGGTCTGGTATAGATCCAGACGGGCTTTGTCCCCACCCCTCAGCTCGGACAAGTCCGGGAGGCTTCTACTCGCTCCTTGGGCATGCGATGTGAGGCTCTCTCCTTCTCATGGCAGCTCTCTGGACTTTTAAACTAAGCTCGTCCCTCATAAAAGGCTTTCTGTCTCTTACTCTGGGAAAACGCTTGCGTCTTGATGGCTTCGTTAAGTGCTAGCGTGGCCTCATCCGTCCCCTCTGCCTGTGCTGCGTTTACACCGGGTTGATATAATAGACATGAAAACATGATGAAAGTAAAATGGTGGATTAATTGATTAGATTCCTAATCTAAGTTCCCAATATTTGCTGTGTATGCACTTTGATAATTTGTAAATGATTGGCATGTTTTCCCCTGGGTTATTTGGCTACAATTTAAGAAGATAGTGCTGGACAAAGAAGTGGTCCAGAAAAGTTTCCAGTATCAGTCTTTTGGCCCCTAATATAAACAGTTAAAAATCACTTGATAATAATTGTAACTTGAATTTTTTATATATTCTATAAAACTATAATTACTTACAAAACATTTATTTTTTTTTAGGCAGCTATTTTTGCTATGATAATCCTGCTGCTCTTCAGACTCAGGTTAAGCAGGTAAGCTGATTTTTCACCGTTGTTTCTTTCATCAGCTTTAGAGCAAGCATAGTTGCACCAGTTTTGAAGTTGGTGGTCTGCAGAGTTAGCCAGAGAATCCATTTTCACATTTATCACCACACCCTAATACTGCAGGGAGTTTTCTTGAGTTGGAATGAGTGACCCTAGAGAATTAATTTTTAGTACTGGGGTCTTGATATTGTGTCACACCGGAGATAAATAAGTATGTGTTAATTCCATAATACTGTCAAAAAAGTATTAGCAGATTTTTCTTTGCATTTCAGTTTACCATTGTGTCATCACTTTAAATGACAAATGATTTTGGTAAGATAGCCTTTGCCTTCTTAAATAAGGACTAATACTTAAATATGGTACTTAAAACAAATATGACACTTAAATATTAAACAAATATGACACTTAGAACATGAGCACTAATTGTTCCTGCCAGTATTTGAGTCTGGTTTTGTAAATATCTTTAGGTATTTATAATTTCTTGTGTATTTAGATCATGTTTCACCTTTGGGCAAGAGAAATGCATAAACTGGCCCTTCATATTTTAGAATGAAAAGGAAAGAGAGAAGTTCCCAATTGTCCAGGTGTGACCATTTTTCTGGCTCAGGGGCCACAGCTATCATGACATTCTTAGTCACTGACTACAAATTATTAAGTAATTCCTGACTTACATATTTGACAGAATGTTTTGGTTTATTTGTTACTAAACTTAACTGATGGAAAAAAATAGTTTTATTTTCTTTCCATATAGGATATGCAGGTGAATACCACGAAATTCATGCTGCTGTATGCCTGGTATTCTTGGCCCAATGTAGTTTTGTGTTTCTTTGGTGGCTTTTTGATAGACCGAGTATTTGGAATACGGTAAGCTTGGAAAAATCTATGGGTAAAATCTGCTAGGAAAATGCAGAACTGGGTTAAAGTATTTCTGAATATTTTTCTGTATTGAATTGATCTGCCCTAGGGTGTTTCTTTTTTAAGATTTTTTTTTTTTAATCTTTGGAATTTTGAAAATTGTTTGGAATCTTGGTGAAGGCCGGAAGTAGTAAATGCTGCTCATGGAATATGATAACTCATCTGTCCAGGGGTAAAGTACAGCCTTATTTGGGATCACACAAGCCAGGGTCTGGATCTTGTAGCCACTTACTCAGTTTCTGAGCTGCTTGTAGTTTCTGAGCTTCAGTTTCCTCATTCGCAAATGTGGGGAATGTGTCCTGCCATGCAGGGTGATGATGAGGGTTGAGAGGTGAGTGTGCAGCATTTGGTATATATGTGGTCTCCCCCCACCCACCCCCACCCCCGTGAAATTTTCTGCCTTTCTTTGGGCATCAGACTTTTGGTGACTGCTTCTATTTCATGCAGAGGACTCTTTGTCAGTCTGCCTCTTAGGATTATGCATATGTTGTTAGTGGGGACTTTAAGGATATAGAGTGGGAATTTTTTCAGAAGGCAGAGGGCAAGACATGCATGGTTCTCCAGCCATGTCTGGTAGAAAAGGGATGAAAAATTAAGACTTGGCCTGGGGTCTACCTTCAAAAAGTTTCAAAGTGTATCAAGGAGGAACTGGATTTATTTTCTTGGAATAAAGGGGTAGCATTAGCTTGAAGCTTCAGGGAGGCAGATTCCACTGTGTAGGATGAAGACTCCTTGGTCAGATTGACAGGAGTCACTAAGTGCTTGAATGGTGGTGAGTTTTCCAGTGCTAGCAAACTTTGAGTGGTACTGCTATGGCTATTTCTCTGTGATTTGAATTGGATTTGGCTTTTGGAAGTATAGTTTACTCAGCCAACCTTCTGATACTGACATTTTATTACCCTAGGGGAAACATTAATTAGATACTCAGACTATAGTGTTGGAGTGAGCACGTTTATAATTGTATTAATGAGGTTGACATTTGCCTTTTTAAAAATAGTGTTTGGTTATCAAGTATTTTAACCATCAAAAAGTGCTTAACATGGAATTCTTTTAAATCAATACCGGACTCAATAGAAAAGTTTTAAAGAACTTCCATTATTAAATAGGAACCCTGAGAACTCTTGAATATTACATAATGTGCTTGGTTTCTGAGATGTAATACCTTAAACTCACATATACTCACATGATTCAAACCTTGGAATCCTCAGAAATCTAGATTTGTTTCTTTAACCAAATATATTTGACATATAATCTTGTATCAGTTTAAGGTGTCCAACATGTTCATTTGATACATTTACATATTGTAATATGATTACTGTTGTAGTGCTAATTAACACCTCTATCATATTACATAGTTTTCTCGTTAGTGGTTGGAATCATAATTAATTTGTAGTCCACTGATCAAGTTGATAACGTGGGACAACATTGTTGTCCAAGAGTCTAGACTACAGTATTGTTCCGCCTCGGACAGCTGTCAACCTCAGGCAGGCCAGACCTCACTTTTCTTTACATGGAGGCAATGCAGATGGGTTCAACGAAGATGGTGGGAAATTATTGCTGAATGATGTGCTGATGTATTTTAACTCACACCCTTCTCCCCGACCCCCTTTTTTTCTCTAACAGATGGGGCACCATTATTTTTAGCTGCTTTGTTTGCATTGGACAGGTAAGGAAGGCCAAAATATCTGTTGATTACACGATAGCAACTTTTGAGTTCTTGTTTTCTAACTGATAGAAAGGTGTTTAATAAGTGCTTTGCTTAATTAGGCATGGTCCACAGACATCCAGGTAGCATAATTTAGAGTCCATTTTCAGCCTTAAGATACATAAATATTTAAATTTCACAGGTTGACCAAAGATATTAAAAACACTGTAGAAATTGTGTTCATTAGTTACTTATTTCTCGAATGCCTTGAATTTACTTTTTCATTGAGTCTACATACATTCTGCATTATAGGTTATTTTTGCTCTTGGTGGAATATTTAATGCTTTTTGGCTGATGGAATTTGGAAGGTTTGTGTTTGGGTAAGTTATGTGTCATTTCATTTATCCTGGTATGTTATTTAGTGTTCATATGTACATTTATTACACATTTACTAAAATGTATTGGGGATTTTAGAATTGTTTTGAATCCTTGAAACATGGTTACATGTATGTGAAACTGTTTCTTTAGTAGTAATGTTATTGGTTATGGTTAACTCTGTGTGGGACTTGATATTAAATAATTCTTCAGAAGTAACATTGTCTCTAGGTGTTTGCTTTCCTGTTGTGTTGAAGACTGTGATGTAAACCTCATTTAGACAAGTATGGACCATTCATTTCTATGCTGGTGCCTCATGGATGTTTTGCCTGTTTCCCAGTGGGTCCTGTGCAGGCTCTTATGAATCCTGTGAAGGTTTGAGTGAGACAATACGAGTAGACTGAGCACTCTTCTTGAATTTCATTCTCTGTTCAGTAAATCTGTTCTGAGTCCAGTCTTGGGTTTTCTGTCTGAGGAACTCCGATGACCTACCTTATTCAATCTGTAACTAAGTGGAACATATGCCAGCCTTTTCACAGGTCCCGGGAGCAGGTAGACATGTCGTAGCTCCCCGAAAGTACTCTTAATGAGAGGAAAGGGAGCAAAAAGTGTGTGTACAAATATGAAAGGGATTGAGAGATGGAAATGTGGCCAGATGTGGCCTCAAGGACAAGGTAGACCTTGACACCAGTACCGGATTTGGTTTGGCAGAAGAGAGGGAAAGTGTTTTAGCCTAGGACAGAGTATTGAGGAGAGTCCTGTGTCAGCACACAGGAGAGACGCTCCTAACTGAAGACCTGGCCTGAAAGGGGATTGGTCAATAGACAGACCCAAAAGAAGGAAAATTAAAACCCCCAAACAGGTCAAAGATGGAAATTATTGGTCTGAAAGTTGTGTTGTCACAGTCAGTGAATTTTTTATATAGTGTGGATGCAGTTGTGGTCACTCATGTCCGTGTTCATGTTTTTGCCACCTAACATGTTTAGCCAGCACTCAGCAGTGCTCATGGGCCAGAAATTTGGACAGGATGCAACATGGTGTCTAGTCTGTGCCAGCAATATCTGGAGCCTTAGCCGGGGAGGCTGGGGTCATGGAAGTCTCCTTGATTTGCTTGCCTGCCACTGGGCCTGGGAGTACATAGATGTGTCCTCCATGTGGGTTGCTTTCTACAGCATGGTGAACTCTGGGAACGTGAACATTTCCCAAGGTGGCCCAGGGCTCCAAGTTTGAGCATTGTCACCTTGTGACCCAGTCTTGGGATCTCACACAGCTCACAAGCTCATGTCCACTCTATTGTATTTGCCGAAGCCCACCTAGATCCAGCCTCCCCACCCCATCTGAGAAGAGGGTATGTCAGAATTTTAAACCTGTTGCATTGTTAACTGGTGTTTCTTTAAAAGCTGTATCTTTTTCCTTCTTCTCGTTTTTAGGATTGGTGGAGAGTCATTAGCAGTTGCCCAGAACACATACGCTGTGAGTTGGTTTAAAGGCAAAGAACTGAACCTGGTGTTTGGACTGCAGCTTAGCATGGCCAGAATTGTAAGTGTGACAAACTTAATGAACACAAATAGGAAGCAGAAGGGGACTTGTAGTTACCTTTGAAAACTGCCAGGATGAAGTGTGTTTGTGTATGAGATGCGAGGTGTTGATTTTTAACTTTTTTTTCTGTACACCCCAGGATAGTAGCATTCATCATACTTTAAATATGGCATGTCTGACCTTTTTTTTTCACTTACACAGTTGTCTGTGATGGTGAGTTGAGCATTAAGGAGACTGTGCATTGGGAGATCTTACAGGCTTTATAGGAAGATTTCTGCCCGGCGTCTACCAGGCCTGCCGTGCAGGTCTCCACGTGCAAACGCCAGGCTGTGTGCACTTTTCCGTGGTTGGAGGCTGGTGCTGTGTTGTGTCATCTGCTCTTAACTTTATGAGGCTCAACCTCACAACGCTTTTGCCTTTTGCCTTGACCCTTGCCCCTAGCTAATGTTTGCTCCACTGTTGTGTGCCAGTGCTTGGCTCGGGAACGCAGCGCTGGTGCTTGCTCACACGTGCTCACTTCTGTGGTTGTCTGCGCCAGATGGCATGGTGGCTGGCTCTCCAGTGCTGGTGCTTGCTCACGCCTCTTGGGACCTAGTGCAGGGCCTCGTGCTCCTCTGAGCACTTGGAACATGGAGGTATCCTGGTGTTTCAGGTTTCATTTGATAGAAAGTTCCCTAAAGAACCACATAATGCATTTATTAATACAGCTTCTAAGGGGTTTCCAGAAAGTCCTGTGAGGTTCTTCCTCAGAAAATTCTCTGAATGGAGGCCTTTTTTTTTTTTTTGTATCCTTGCTATTAAAAAATAAAGATTCAGACAGTCATAAATGGCATGAAGATACTTATAACATTCGTAGGGAAGAATAAACCCAGTCTAAAAAGTTTTTAACGTAGCTAGCTTTTGAATTGTATAGCACATGCATGTGATGTCGGACACCTTGATTCTTTGTAACCTGTCACTAAGAAGTCCTTTCATGTGCCAGGTCTGGGAAATGTGTCTACATCTTGTTTCTTTACGCTCGGTTGCTGGGAGCATAAAGTGTTTTTCTAGAAGTCCTCTCAGATGTTTGCATTCCTGTGATGGGATGCGAGAACCTCATTTTTATTAATGTTTTTGATAGTTACTCTATCAGTTGGGAGGAAGCACCTCAGCATTACGTTAATTCTTTGATGACTTGTGTGGCTTCCCATGTTTTCTAAGCTTGGCCTGTAAGAGCATCTTGAATGACTTCATGGTGTGTGTTGGGCCAGCCAGCTATGTCTGTGACTGTTTGGAATCTCATTATCCCATCACTTCTGAAAGAGCAGGACTGTTAAGTGATCTATCGTGGGCACCAGTAACCTGCAGTCTTCTCACCTGTGAAGGTGGCTGGGCCCCACGACTTGGTGTTGGGCAGCTTCTGTTTCCTTTCACTCTCACCTCCTTGATGATCTTGTTGAGTTTGGCGGCTTTAAATAGATCGCTTTGCTGCTAAATTTGTCACTTTTACTATCCTCCTGAATTCGGTTGTTTATGTAACTTCTCCCTGCCATTTCATCCTGGGTGTCTGGTAGGCACGACAGCCCTACGTGCCAAACCCAGGTCTGGGCATTCCACCTGCTGCCCCCCAGACTAGCTCAGCTGCGGATTTTTCATTCTCAGCTCTGGGCAGTTTTGTTTCTCCAGCTAATCAGGTGGAAACTTTGTTGTCATCCTCAACTCCTCTTTCCCTCTCCTCACCTTGTTTTCCATTAGTAATTCTCATTCTCTTCATCACAGTGCATCCATGTTCTGGCTACTTGTGGCTATGCCCACTGCTGTCTGCCTGGTGTAAGACCTATTGTGCTTGCAGTGGCCCCTGACCTGTGTCTGTCTTCTGCCCTTGTCCCCGTTTACAGGCTGTATTGAATATAGTGGCCAAGGATGTTGTATTAAGCTGAAGAGGATAGGAGTACCATTTCTTTCTTCAACAGCCAGTGACTCCTCTCCCTTTTTTCTGGAAGTCGTCTCTCCCTGCCCTCCTTCTCCCACACACTGGGAGTCTCCCACTTGGGACCTGTGCACTGGCTGTTCCCTCTAGCTGGATGCTTTTCCCTCGACGCTCCCAGCTGGCTAGCTTCAGGTGTTCACTCCAGAGTCACACTCACACCTCCACATCCAATTTTATATTCCCCTTCTGTGCTTTATTTTGCTCCTGATTTTTATGCACTTGCTTCTTTAATATTGTACATTGTACCTCTTTTCTGCCTCTACAGTGTAAGCTCAGTAGGAGCTGAACCTTTTTCTGTTCTTTATTGTTTTCCCAATACCTGGAATAGTGACTGGCATGTCACCAGGGCTTGGCAGTTGCTGAGTAATTCAGGATATTGCGTACTATAACTTTTACTGTCTTAAGGACATTTAGAGGGTGAATTTTCTTTTCAGATGTCAACACTAGCAAAAATTGTGCTTTTTCTGAGCTAGTGTATCTTTGTGTTAGGTGTTCTGTGAATTTGGTAACTCACTGTATTTCATCTTTGCTTTGATAAAAGCTGTAAACCTACTGTTATTTTGTATACTAGAGTTTTCTTTAGTAACTTGGTCTGTTTTTTCTTGCAGTGTATTTTTTTTTTTAATTATCTCTTGTTAAATCTATGTACTAACAACCTGTTTCCTAAGCCACCTTAAATTTGGTTTTTTCTTTAACAAGGCAGAGATTTAAATGAAAATTCCGTGTTTTTCCTTCTCTTTCAGGGCAGTACAGTGAACATGAACCTCATGGGATGGCTGTATTCTAAGGTTGAATCTCTGATGGGTTCTGCAGGTCACACGACCCTTGGGGTCACCCTTATGATCGGTTAGTGAGTCCTGATGCCCTGCTTGGTCTCTCTGAAAGCTTGTCACAGGAAGTACTGTGGCAGAGGGGAAAGAACACTGGAATCTGGATTGCCAATGTTGGTTATAGTTTCCCCTACAAGCCTTTAGTTTACTTGGCCTAACTAATGTTACTCACTGTTTTATTTCTGCTTCCTTAAGGTTTTTGTCCTGCCTTGTCTACTTCAGCATTGTTGATAAGCAAATGATAGCGTTGTGTGACCATCTGAGAGCAGTTAGTAAAGTGATAATAGTGGTAATTCTCTCTGAAAGAAAATTGGCTGCTTTTTATTAAATCCCGTTTGTATGCCTAGAGAGCTCTGATTTTAGAGAAATCAGCTGATTACCGACAGTCTGCTGAGTTGGAGGCAAGAGCCTGACTTCTAGGCCTGGCGTTCAGTACTCTGTTACTGTGGACATGGACGTTAACCCCTACCTCTCAGTTTTCTGTAAAATTCCTGATGTTTGATCAAAACTGGGTAGTTATGCTAGTTGGGGCTCCATCTACTGGGTACTGGGGTGGGGAGGTCAGTGGACTTTTTCTCCGAGCAGTGGGAGTCTTTAGCTGAGCTGTATGTGGTGGAGGGCTGCCTGAGAGCCCTGGACTCCTGTGGGATAGGCAAGGAGTGTTCTGTGCTGCTACTTCTGCTTGGTTCTGCCTGGTACAGAGGGCAGTGAAGAGGTGACCCAAATAGGCAACTTCAGTCTCCAGGCATCATCTTCTCCCTTCCCCCTAGTTCTTGGCTTCCGTTAGGGAACCTCTTTCTTACTCTCATAACCTCATCTGTGTACCTTCTACTTCCTCCCACCATGGAGAATTTGAGAATTTGAAAGCATTTTGGAGTCAGAAAAGATCTGTGTCATCAGAAGTCAACCCTTTATTTCATAGGTGGGGAAATTGAAGCCCAAGATGCCATTCAGCCAGGTTCATTCAGCTTGTTAGGCCAGTAGTAGAATCCATGTCTTCGCCTCTCAGGGACTTTTCATCAGGACCATATTATGTCAGTCAGTTAAAGGTTTGTCCACTTCACTAAGTGTCTTTCAGAAATTCTTGAAGTGTAAACTGTGTTCATGTTTTATCCAGATTTGCTTTAAAGACGCGAGCGCTGCAGTAGTTGTAGTATTGATAACACAGAGGAGGGAGCAGAGTGGGCTGGTGGGGTAGGCTGTGCCCTTTGGGCTGCTGGAGTGGAGGGACCAAGGGTTGCAGGCTTTGGGAAGCAATCAAGGAAAATGAGGTGATCATAGAACTGAAATTTGCTTTGTAATTCCCCCTGGCATCCATCAACAGTTGGTGCTTAGACTGACTTAAGAAGTTAGGCCTGGTTTGCTGTCTGGTCATCAGCCCTCCTCCGCCTCATCTGCTGTATCAGGCTACGAGTGTGTTCCCTCTCACACTCCAGCCTCTCTGGGGAAATAGTGTGGCGACAGGATCTGTACTGTTGAGTGCTCGCCTCATTGCATGCGCGCCACCCAGCCCGCTGCTGGGCCTGAGTAGTAATCGTAGGCTTTCCTCACACGTGGCCAGAAGCTATCCTCTTCACTGCTGCATTTCTGCTATTGATGTGACCTGACTTGTCACCTTCTAGGAACATGTACCCTAATTCTCTTTTTTTTTTTTTTTTTAAAGATTTATTTATTTATTCATACAGAACTGGGGTACAGGCCAGAGATGCGGAGGGTGATAGGATTCACCAGAGACAGAGTGGGGGGCAGAACAGGCAGATTGACGAAGTACACTGCTGAGGGGAGCAGCGGGCGGGTCAGGAGAGGTCTGCCACGCCATGTGGTCACCTCCGGGGCAGGCGGGAATCGAACTCATGCGGAAGCGGCTTTAGATTCTCAGTGCTGTGCTTTAACCCGCTGCGCCACCAGGGAGGGCCCCTAATTCTCTTTTTTAAAATCTATTTCAGGTGGTCTAACCTGTATTCTGTCACTGATCTGTGCCTTGGCCCTTGCTTACTTGGATCAGAGGGCAGAAAGAATTCTCCATAAAGAGCAAGGAAAAACAGGTACATCTAAATAAAGGAAAATGGGACTTTGGGAGGAATTATGGTCTTTTTGAGATAATTTCCAATGAGATAAGTTCCTAGTGTAATGTATTAAATCCAGGGAGGCTCTATAATACAGCTTTTCAATCTTTTATTTCCAAGTTTATTTATACTGGTTTAAGTTTTGGGATACTTTTCCCCCTTAACTGTTTTTTGGCAGAATGTATTTTCCTTTTTTTTTTTTAAATTATTTTTGCACAGAAAAACTAGGGTGTAAGCCAGAGGTGCTGAAGGGGTGGGGATTGAGAGGATTCACTAGAGACAGAATGGGGAGCAGACAGGTGGATTGCAGCACTGCTGAGGGGAAGAGTGAGCAAGATAGGAGAGGTCTGCTGTGCCACACTTGGGTAGCTCCCTGGCTAGGGATTGAACTCTGTAGTGGTGATGACACTGAGATTTATTAACCCTTTGGCCACCAGGGAGGCCCAGAATTTACATTCTTGACTATACTTTGTATTTGCAAAATGGTGTGAATCCCTGGAGGGAGTTAGAAGGTAGGTTCCACTTTTAGGTTTTATTTTTTTCTAAGATTTTTTTTAAAGTATCTCAGAAAATCTAGTCCAATAATTTACTGAGAAAAACAGTATTTTTAAAACTGAATTGCAAACTTTAGATACTTGATAAAAAGAGAATATATGTGTATATATATATATTTTAGGGTTCTATTTTATTTATTTTTTACAACAGTTTATTTTTACATCATTTTGTACATTTATTTTTTTCCATCTCAATTGTAATCCCTGTGGGTTTCCCATCACCAAGTCACCCATGTGCCATCACCATAATCCTGTGCACTTCCCTCCCCCCCCCCACCCCGTGCTTGATCCCATTCCCCACTCCACCCCCACAAAATATCTCTGGTATATGGCTGTTCATTATTCTTGTTATTTTCTCGCCTAGTCCATTATACTCCTGCTATGAGTAAAACCATCCGGTATTTTTCTTTCTAAAAGAGAAAATATTTTGAATTAGATATGCAACTTACTGACAGCCTGTCCCTTTCCTCAGGTGAAGTCATCAAGCTAACAGACGTGAAGGACTTCTCCTTGCCACTCTGGCTCATATTCCTCATCTGCGTCTGCTATTACGTCGCCGTGTTTCCGTTTATTGGGCTCGGGAAGTGAGTATTCTGTGGCCTTTTTTTGTGTTGGTTAGGTTATAATGAGGATTCCATCTCATCAGTAGAGTGTCTTTAGCTGTAAGCCCTGCGTATGTCACAGGAGTGGTCTAGCCTCCTGGCACACTGCTGATTTTAGTCGCTTAAGGTTCAGTGTTGGTTTAATAACTCCCATTATTCTTTTGAAAAAATACCTCATCACAGCTTCTGGTTCATAATACAGATTGATGATAATATTTGATTTTGGATTGATACTCGGCTCTGTTCCTGAGCTTAGAAGCCTCTTTCTGAGGACAGAGGCAACATACTGGCTCCTGATGATCAGGCTCCTCGTTACTTACTAGGATTGTAAGTTGTTAGGCTCTATTTCAGGGTGCAATAACATTCTTTTGCATTTTTTTATTGGCAGTTGCTTAAACAGAGCAGTGTGTGGTCTGTTTCTGGGCCATGCCTTGATATTAAAACCTTTACATTCAGGTTATTGTGAATAACTTGAGACAAAAGCCTTATGTAGCTAAGAGCCTCCCAGCACTGCTTTTAAGGACAAGCAGGAGTCCTGATTAGCAGTAATAGTACATTTTTCTGAAAAATATGTATACCATTGTTGCCTATGTAGAAAGGGAAAACAAGTAGACATTACCATGTTTTACTTCATAAGCGGAATATGTATGCAACACTTAAATTTTAGTTGATGGCCTGAAGATGAAGGACTCATTTGAAAAGGGAAAGATTTTTATTCAAAGAAGGGAAGATTATTTTTATTCAGCTTAATTTTACCTTTGTTTTTAAAAAGAAACAGGGCAATTCTGTCTAAAGTGCTTTTTAAAAATATCTCTCTTTATTTTAGAGTTTTCTTTATAGAGAAATTTGGATTTTCTTCCCAGGCAGCAAGTGCAATTAACAGGTATTTCATTAATTCTCTCAGTGCTTCTTGCTCGTATATGTGAGTCTTTAAATATAGTCAAATGTAATAAGAGACAAAGGCATATGCGACTTTGTGAAACCAGAGTGTAAAACCAAGACTATACTGGGTCTTAAATGCTGAGTGGCTTTTTTAGCTTTTATGGAAAACCAAACAAGTCTTGCACTACTGTATATATGTTTTTTTTTTTTTTAAGATTTATTTATACATACAGGAACTGGGGTGAAGGCTAAAGGTGTTGGGGGTGGGTGGGTAAGAGGATTCACCAAAGAGAGTGGGGAGCAGAACAGGCAGATGTACTGGAACACACTGCTGAAGGTAGCAGTGGGTGAGACAGGAGAGGTCTGCTGTGCCATGTGGGTCAGCTCCCTGGCTGGGGGTTGAACTCCAGCTGCGTTGGCTGCCAATAGCTGGGTAGTGCTGAGACTTAACTCCTGTGCCACCAGGGAGGCCCCTATATTTCTGTTTTGATGCCTATTTTAGATGAATGTAAGTGAGCTAGAATTTGCTTTTTTGTCTAATGGCTTTAAAGACAACGTTTTTTCTGTAACTGTGCTACATTTCATCAAAAACGTTTTGTGTTCTCTGGACAGTATTGTATATGTCATATCAGCTCCCATGTCCCCGGTATTTGGGCTCCTGGTGGATAAAACAGGGAAGAACATCATCTGGGTCCTGTGTGCCGTGGTAGCCACGCTTGCTTCCCACATCATGCTGGCGATGACGCTGTGGAACCCGTGGATTGCCATGGTAACACCGCCTGTAACTCTGGGCTCAGGGCTTCAGGAGGACACTGTAGAGTGCAGCCTCTCTGATGGCGGTGCTTGTGACAGAGGGGAAAGCATGGACTGATTTCAGTTTCCATGAAATAACTTTTTAAGGTATAAATATTAATTATTAGCACGCTAGGCATTTTAAATTTTACTTGCTTTATTTAGACAGGGTAACCTCAGTGCTGAAATAGCATTTAAAATAAAATCATCTTATAAAAGCCATGTTGTCTTTGATACTTAGTAGGTTAAGAAGTGGTGGTAAATTCAAGTTTTCTTGTTGGTCTTCAAATATTATTTTTAAGAGCACAGGTTGAAGCGATGCATTTCTTACTTGTTAGTAAAGGAACATCTTACATATTTGT